CCGCACTGCCACAATGTGTATAGAAGCAAATGTTTAGATTGTTCATGGGCCCATAGAATTTAATTTATTTTCTGACAGCAGTCATCATGGGCTTGAAAAAATGCTAAATCTTTATTACTCCCCATAGGTACAGTATCAGGCATATTTAGAGCATTAAAATGGCAGATCTGAAAGTGGGAGGGAGTGATGGAAGGACGGGTGGATGGATGGGTGGATGGATAAGTGGGTGGGTGGGTGGATGGATGGATAGGTGGGTGGATGGATAGATGGGTGACAAAATAGATCCTGTGACCATGTGAGGACTATGTACCACACCGGGTTGTTTGAAATCCAGGGAATGCCTGCGGCTCCAGGGAAGAGGCATTTCATGTAAGGGCCCTCTGAGTCCTCTTGTATCAAATCGTATTGGAATTGTAATGTCTACCTTCATTTTGTAAAGTGCTGTGCAAACTGTTGGCGCCATATATATCCCGTATAATATTATTATTATACAGGATTTATATAGCGCCAACAGTTTGCTCAGCGCTTTACAATATAATGGGAGACAATACAGCAATAATACAGTTCAATACAAGAGGGTTAGGAGGGCCCTGATCCTTGGAGCTTACAATCTAGGAATATTATACAGAATTTATATAGCGCCAACGGTTTGCACAGCGCTTTACAAAATGAAGGTACACATTACAGTTACAATACAATTTGGTACAAGAGGAAACAGAAGGCCCGGCTCGTTAGAGCTTACAGTCTAGGAGGAAGGGTTGAGCGATACAAAAGGTAATAGTTGTGGGGGGGGGGGGGGGTGAGCTGATGGAGGAAATAAGTGGCGGTTTACTAGGTAGAAGCAGGATAGACTTCTTTAAAGAGAAAGGTTTTCGGGGATCGTCTAAAGGTGGATAGATTAGGAGACAGCCGGAGAGGTTGGGGTAGAGAGTTCCATAGGATGGGAGAAGCTCGGAGAAGTCCTGGAGGTGAGCATGAGAGGAGGTGATCTGGGAACTAGAGAGCAGAAGGTCTTGGGAGGATCGAAGAGAGCGGGTTGGTTGATATTTTGAGACCAGGTTGGTGATGTAGCTGGGGGAAGAGTTGTGGATGGCTTTGTAAGTTGTTGTTATAATAATAATGTACCACTAGGCCCCTAGGAAATGGCCAGATTTACACTACTGGGCAAGAAGGAAATTTATCAAATCGAAGCTGAAGTTTCAGGTGAGTTTTCCTATTCATGTTTAAAAAGCTAGAAAAAATTAGCTTTGCATCTCTTGCCTCCACTTATTATTAAAGAGGATTTATATAGCACCAATAGTTTGCCTTGTGCTTTACAACGTAGAGGGAGGCAGTACATTTACAAAACAATTCAGTGCAGGAAAATTATTATTATTATTATACAGGATTTATATAGCGCCAACCAGGGGTGGACTGACCATTCGAGCACTGCCCGAGGGCCCGGGGTCAGTAGGGGGCCCCTATAAAATGTGCCTGGTACCTTTTATAGGCTTTTTTGGGTGTGTTTTGAGTGTGGGCAAGGACACAGGGGCCCCATGATCCCCAATTCCCGGGGGCCCCATGAGTTGTCAGTCCGCCCCTGGCGCCAACAGTTTGCGCAGCCTTTACAATATAAGGGAGGCAGTACAATTACAATACATTTCAGTACAAAAGGAATAGGAGGGCCCGGCTCATGGAGCTTACAATCTATTAGTTGGGTTGGTTTACAAGAGCAGCCAATGTGTGGCATACTTCAGATATATTTCAATATTTCCACAACCAGTAATGATGCCGCTGAGTGTTTCTGTGTGAACGCCTTGCATAGACAGTTCAATAAACCTCTTAATGATCAGGCCAATTAAAAACACACCAGTAAGATTAATGGAAGCGTCTGTGGTGCCAATTTGTACTAATTGGGTAAAAGTAGAGGAAAAGTCAATTCCCTCATAAATTCATCCCTAGGCGATGACATCTTTTACGCAAACATGTTAATTAAACACATTACAGAGGCCAGAAGCGCAAATCTGAGGATTACTTAGTTGCTCCTTTAACCTCTTGTGTAAAGTGCAGGTACGAGGTAGCAGGTTTCATCATTAGAATGGTCTTTCTTAAGGTGGGAATACACGATTAGAAAATCGACCGATCGGTCATCCGATCCAGTTCATTGGTCGAAATCGTGGCCCACATTTACCAATCTAAAAAAAAATCGTTAGTCGGGCAATACATAGCGTTGACGTCTTCCGTACAAGTGAAAGTGATGCAGTGTGCGTGTGACCTTGTAGCCACGCCCTTCCGGCCAGAATGAGCGATATACACAGCAATTACCAGCAATGAGTATAATATCGTTTATTACATCATCTATATACATAAATAGTGATACATAAATATGCAGAATTCTGGTTTCATTATCTCATTAGGCCAATCTACTTTTAACATTTGGATTTTTTGTTGGTGTTTACGAAGATTCCTTGGACATAAACATCCGGGTCATCTTCTGTTTCCGCTCATGCGTGATAGCGCTTGATAGAATTTTTTCGTACGACTGTCATACCACCGCATAGAAAATCGGTCGTTCGTATGCGAAACGACAAAATATTTCACTGTTGTTCAACTGGATTTTTTCATTCACAATATCATTATCAGTTAAAACATCCTACTCATCAACAGAGAAAATCGTTAGATCAGTGGTTCCGCAAAATTTTTCAGACGATTTTCTTATCGTGTGTATGGGGCATTATACAGGTCTTCAGGGATATAACATTTTTAGAAATGTCTATTCTGAACACAACTATGTATATAGCCTGCCCTTAATACTGAGATTTTAATGTTCTCTCTCTGTTGGAGTCCCTCAAGGCTCCGTCCTCGGGCCCCTTCTCTTCTCCATCTACACCTCCTCCCTTGGCCATCTCATACACTCTCACAGCTTCAACTACCATCTCTATGCTGACGACATGCAAATCTAATTGCTGACTAACTCATGTAGACTCCACCTCCGCAACATCTCCAAAATACGTCCGTTCCTAACCCCAGAAACTACTAAGCAACTCATTCACTCCCTTATCATTGACTACTGTAACTCCCTCCTCACCAGCCTACCTCACCACAGGCTATCCCCACTTCAGTCGATCCTTAATACTGCGGCAAGACTCATCCCCCTTACCAACCACTCCGTATCCGCCACCCCCCTCTGCCAATCCCTCCACTGGCTTCCAATTGCCCAACGGATCAAATTCAAAATGCTAACACTGACGTACAAAGCTGTCCATAACACTGCCCCAAACTACATCACCGACCTGATATTCAAATACCATTCAAAACATACTCTCCGCTCCTCACAAGACATCCTTCTCGCTAGTTCCCTGGTCTCCTCCTCCCATGCCCGCCTCCAGGACTTCTCCAGGGCTTCCCCCATCCTCTGGAACTCCCTACCCCAATCCATCAGACTTTCACCTACTCTCCTCTCCTTTAGGCGCACCCTGAAAACCCACCTCTTCAGGGAAGCCTACCCCACCCTCAGCTAATTGCCGATCTCCTCCACTCTTCCTACCACTCCATCCCCCACAGCTATCCCTCTCGTACCACTATCCCCTCCCTCCTAGATTGTAAGCTCCAAGGAGCAGGGCCCTCGAACCCCTCGTGTATCGCATTGTACTGTTATTGTACTGTCTCATGTATTGTCTCCCATTGTAATGTACAGCGCTGAGCGAACTGTTGCCGCTATATAAATACTGTATAATAATATTAATAATGTGTATCATTTTTACCTATTCAAGTCTGAGACCATCCACATTCCTAACAGCAATTTTAAGCCTTGATAAAGGGGAAAATCTAGAAACCCTGAAATGTGCTGGATTATCCCTTTCACATACAAATAAACTTTTCACGGTTTTTCAACATTTGATTGTTGCTTCTGTTTTTTTTTTTCGTGTACCTCTTAGACTTTACCCAAAGTACATCCTACTTTTTCCTTCATGCCCATGAAATGCAGAACAGAGCCCTTAGTGCACATCAGTCTAGTCCAGCAATGGGCAAACTACGGCCCGGCGGACCTTTTAATCCGGCCCGCGGAGCGTGGCAAACATCGGCTGTCAGAATGTGTGTAGGCGGGGCAGCGTGAGGAATGTGAGGGGAGCTAGGCTCCTCTCACAGTCCGCCCTGAAGACCGGAACGGCGCGGGAACATGGCGAGAGAAACGCGCGGAGCAAAGGTAAGTGAATTGACAAAGGGGGGACTTGGCTTACTACTTGGGGGGGAATAGTACTGTGGGGGATGAAATACTATATGAGGGATGAATTAATTAATATGGGGGATGAATTAATATGGGGGATGAATTACTATATGGGGGATGAATTACTATATATGGGGGGATGAATTACTATATGGGGGATGAATTACTATGGGGGATGAATTACTATATGGGGGATGAATTACTATATGGGGGATGAATTACTATGGGGGATGAATTACTATATGGGGGATGAATTACTATGGGGGATGAATTACTATATGGGGGATGAATTACTATGGGGGATTAATTACTATGCTTACTATACTATGGGGGAATATTACTATACTTACTATAGATGACACATACACATCATTCATCTACTCTTGGTCCGGCCCCCGGGTCCAATATATGAACCCATTGCGGCCCTCAATGTCAATAAGTTTGCCCACCCCTGGTCTAGTCTATATTTTGACTGTAAGATCGTTCTACATTAGGATCTAGCAACTCCTATCTTCATCTTTTATTATTTTAATTTTCTTTTATACACAGGTCATTTGCAACCTCATCAACCACATATTGAATACCCTTATGTATGCGATTTGAGATGTTGGGAACTGTGCAACCACAAATATCCTGAGGTCACCTCATTTGAAGTGGCCTGAGGGTGTCATAATGTGGCTGCTGAGAGAGAGGGGAAACATTTCTGTGAAAGAAACTGGTGGAAACACTAAAGAGGGGTAGTGGCTGCATCTTAGCTGTAGTTCCCTATGGAAGCTTGAGCTGGGTCCTGCATTTCACCCAGGGGCGGACTGACCATTTGCAAACTTGGGCACTGCCCGAGGGCCCGGGGTCAGTAGGGGGCCCCATGAGATGCCCCTGGTACCTTTTTCATAGGCTTTTTTGAGTTTGGGCAAGGACACAGGGGCCCCATGATCCCCTATTGCCCGGGGGCCCCATGAGGTGTCAGTCTGCCCCTGATTTCACCTGTACTGTACTAAATGGAATCCTGGACTAAAATCTGTCCTTTCAGTCCCAAAATCCAACCACTGTCCAAATCTTGCAGACTTTACCTCTGTAACATCTCCAAAATACACCCCTTTTTAACTGTTGAAAGCACTTCCTCATTGGCCTACCTAATTGTAAGCTTCCCCTCTTCAGTCTATCATGAATGTTGCTGCCAGACTCATCCACCTTACCAACCGTTCAGTGTCAGCCACCCCTTTGTCAATCCCTTCACTGGCTTCCCATTGCCCAACGAATGAAATTCAAAACATTAATAAGAACATGCAAAGCCATTTACAACTCTGCCCCAAGCTACATCACCAATCTTGTCTACAAATATCACCCATACCATCTTCTCCACTCCTCCTGCTCTCTAGCTCACTTGTCTCTTCCTCCCATGCTCATCTCCAGGGCTACTCCAGAGCCTCTCCCATCCTCCAGAATGGTCTACCCCAATCTGTCCGGCTATCTCCTACTCTGTCCACTTTTAGGCGACCCCTTAAAGCTCACCTCTTCTGGGAAGCCTATCCTGCCTTCAGCTAATAACTGAATCTTCTATTTCTTCCATCAGTTCATCTCCCACAGTTATTACCTTTTGTTCCACTAGCCCCTCCCTATTAGATTGTAAGCTCCCTGGAGCAGGGCTCTCCTAATCCTCTTGTATTGAATTGTATTGTATCTGTACTGTCTCTCATTATACTGTAAAGCGCTGAGCAAACTGTGGGCACTGTATAAATCTTGTATAATAATAATAATTATAATACTGTTCTGCAATTTTGACAGTCAAACAAAGCATGCAATTGGAGAGGTTCTCACAGGTGTGACACTGCCCTGTGTGTCTCTTGGTTATGATTAAGCACGAGATCATGTTAAACACGTTAACAAGTCCTGTATTCATGTCCTGGTGTTTTGTGTGTCCTATGGATTAATAAATACACACTATATTCATCTATCCTCTGGTGTGCGGCTGACCCTTCTTCCTATTTCTGTGTGTCTCAAACACTTGGTCATACAATCTGTGCTGTTCCATGACAAACAAGGAAACCATTAGAGGGGTCCAGCCCAAGGGCCCCTATAGATTTACCTATGCTACTTCAAGGAAGGCAAAATTAGTTGCTCATAGGAACCAAAGATGTTCCAGCTCTCATTTTAGTTCTGAGTAAATGAAAGGAAAAACATAAGTAGCTGTCTTAAAGTACACTCTATTGCCAAAAGTATTGGTCGGCCTGCCTTTACACTCACATGATCTTTAAGGGCATCCCAGTCTTAGTCTGCAGGATTCAATATTGAGTTTGCTCCGCCCTTTGCAGCTATATCAGCTTCAACTCTTCTGGGAAGGCCATCCACAAGGTTTAGGAGGGTGTCTATGGGAAGGTTTGACCATTCTTCCAGAAGCACATTTGTGAGGTCAGGCACTGATATTGGATGAGAAAGCCTGGCTCACAATCTCCACTCTAATTCCCAAAGGTGTTCTGTCGGGTTGGGGTCAGGACTGTGCAGGCCAGTCAAGTTCCTCCACCCCAGACTCGCTCATCCATGTCTTTATGGACCTTGCATTGTGCACTGGTGCTCAGTCATGTTGGAAGGGGCCATCCCCAAACTCTTCCCACAAAGTTGGGAGCATGAAATTGTCCAAAATGTTTTGGTATGCTGACGCCTTAAGAGTTCCCTTCACTGGAACTAGGAAGCCAAGCCCAACCCCTGAAAAATAACCCCACACCATAATCCCCCCTCCACCAAACTTTACACATGGCGCAATTAGTCCAGTGGCTGTGTGCTTTACACCACTGCATCCGACGCTTTGCATTGCACTTGGTGATGTAAGGTTTGGATGCAGCTGCTCGGCCATGGAAACCCATTCCATGAAGCTCTCTACGCACTGGTATTGTGCTAATCTGAAGGTCACATGAAGTTTGGAGATCTTTAGCTATTGATTCTGCAGACAGTTGGTGTCTTCTTTGCACTTCATTTTACATGGCCTACCACTTGGTGGCTGAGTTCCTGTTGTTCCCAGTTGCTTCCACTTTGTTATAATCCCACTAACAGTTGACCATGGAATATTTAGTAGCCAGGAAATGTCACGGATGGACTTATTGCAAGCTATCACATTACCACACTTGAATTCACTGAGCTCCTGAGAGATCCATTCTTTCACAAATGAAGCAGTCTGCATGCCTAGGTGATGATTTTATACACCTATGGCCATGGAGGGGATTGGCACACCTGAATCCAATGATTTGGAGGGGTGTCCCGATGCTTTGAGCAATATAGTATATATGTAAATCCTTACCTTGTAAAACAACTTTAAAATAGAAATGAAAGATACAGTACATTTGTGTATACATATAAAAACATTATAAGTACCTATTTTCCCCTTTTTTATAAGTCAAGTTCCCTGAGACAAGTTCTCAGCTGCATAGAGAGGTGAGGATAGAGAAAAAGCAGCACACTGGTCTTACTAGTGAATGGCTGTGCAGAGGAGATACAGAGTTCAAAATGTCAGATCATCCCCTTTGGTGGAGATCACATGACCCAATGTCACCAATGAGATCCCAGACGTTTTTTCAAAGATGGATAAGTATCCTTTTTATAACAAGTAAGTATCTTAAAGGTTCTTTCGGGGAGTTGGATTTAAAGCAGCAGGGTTGAAGTAGGTGCTGTTTGTGCTAATGGTATTTAAAAATACACATTTCCTGTAAACTATTATCTGATGTCGATTGTGAATATTCCCTGTAACTTCCATGTAATACAAAGTAGTTGTAAATGTATTTTTTTTTTTTCAAATAACAAACAGGTTCATACCTATTGCTCTGTGGAATTGCAGAGTGACCCTGAACATCCTCTTCTTGGGTCCCCTTCTGGAGCTCCTAGCTCTTCTTCTCTGTCTGGTGCCTTTCTATGGGGGCACTTGTGCATGCTCGCTCCCGAGCCCTGCTGTCTGCATTCATTGATATTCGGCCCTGGCCCCACTCTCTCATCACTGGCTTTGATTGACAGCAATGGGAGCCAATGGCTCCCAGTGCCACAGCACAGCCTGTGAGACTTGGAACTAAAGGGAGAGAGGAGGAAACTAAAGGGAGAGAAGAGGTGCAGGCGGGCACAGTGATGGATTGAATGAGAACTCAGGTAAGTAAAAATGAAAGGGGGGGGGGGGGGGGGGGTTACTGATGCTTTGGCTTTATAACCACTTTAAAAGCATTGCATATCTCTAATGCTCAAAAGCATCTTCTCAGTACACAGCACACAATGGTGACTATCCGAACCCTCTGTGTTTCTTGTGACCTCTGTCCTAGAGGTACAGTCACTTTGCAGGGACAAAGCAGGAAGCTGTAGAGATATTTCAGCTTGAACAGGAGCCAGAGAGTTATCAAAAAATAACACATCATGGACTTTGCTAGCAGGAAGAGGATGCTGGGTAATCTTAAGGGCCCGCCAATTGGCCATATGTGTGATTAGGACGGGATTATTGTGGAAAATGAACCAAGACAAAGGGAAGAAAGGTATAACCTCTCCATACTCCATAGCGGAAATGTTTTTTTCGGGAGCAATGGAAATTGTCAATACTAGTCAATGATATTTCCTGCATGACGAGAGATTTCTAGATGGACTGTTTAGATTAATCATATTATAATATATTATTCTGGTTCCCTTTGGTGCTGGACATATGTGTAAAGGCCTTGGTTGTGGAATCTCTGATGAAGGGGAAAATTCGAGCTCATGCTGGATGATTTTCCCCCTAAGTGACTCTATCACCTTTATAATTATGCAATAATAGCTCTAATTCCTGGACCTTCAGACCTCATATCAGCTCCAATCCCTACACCTTCAGACCTCAGTTCAGCTCCAATCCCTACACCTTCAGACCTCAGATCAGCTCCAATCCGTACACCTTCAGACCTCAGATCAGCTCCAATCCCTACACCTTCAGACCTCAGATCAGCTCCAGTCCCTACACCTTCAGACCTCAGATCAGCTCCAATCCGTACACCTTCAGACCTCAGATCAGCTCTAATCCCTACACCTTCAGACCTCAGATCAGCCTCAATTCCTGCACTCTCAGATCTCAGATCATCCCCAGTTCATGCACCTTTGGACCTCATCTCATCCCCAGTTTATGCATCTTCAGGCATCAGATCAGCCCCAATTCATGCACCTTCAGATCTCAGGTCAGCTCCAATTCCAGCACCTTCAGGCCTTCAGATTAGTCCCAGAGCTTTCAACTTTAGACCCCTAGATGAGATTTATTTTTATACAATATGGCTTTTAATTTTTCTCGATCAATATTACATCTCAGTGTTGCAGACCTTCTCCGGTCTCTTTTGGCCACATCTATCTACATGCGCTCACTCCAGCATCATCTGCACATCATTCCTCTGGACTAGTTCATTGATAATGACAATGGTGGAAATTGTGTTGGCACAACTGCTGGCAGTCTCCACCAGGAGCATATTTAAAAGGTCGACAACCATGGAACACAATTAGGACACAGTTGTTACCCCAGAAAAGGAAGTGCCTGAACAAGTACCTCCATAGCAGGATCACTTGGTATTATTTTAATGAAAGCTGCAGATTTAAACAGATTGATGTCAACTTTTGCAATTACATATTTTAATGTGGTGACAAACCCTTACATATACCCTTCGGGTGATACAAATCCTCCCATATAAGTTGTCCTTCATCCGTTCAAAGTGCTGAAATAAAGAAAGCTTGTCTGAGAGTTGAGAAAAAAGGGAGCTAAAGTTACACTCTGCAGAGCTCAGTGAGGAGAGCTCTGAGAGCTGATTGGAGGTAAGAGCCACCCCCCCTCCACTCAGCTCATAGGAACACAGCTGAGGCTATCAAACTGCTAGGGCTCCCTCCCCTGTCACCATTTTTCTCTTTCAGGAAAACTTGTCAGAAGTGGAACAAGGCAGGCGAGAGAAATGACACTTAGGGGTTTATTTACTAAAGCTGGAGAGTCCAAAATCAGACTCCCTTCTGCATAGAAAC